AACAGCGCAGGCCCCAGGACCGAGCCCTGGGGGACTCCGCTGCCCACTTCCCCCCCAGGTTGAATATGACCCATCCACCACCACCCTCTGAGTACGACCCTTGAGTCAATCTGCAATCCATCCGACTGTGTAGGCATCAATGCCACAGTCGCCTAGTTTTTCAATGAGGATGGGGTGGGAGACCATGTCAAAGGCCTTGCTGAAGTCTAGAAAGACTACGTCCACGGCAACACCTGCATCCATTGCCTTTGTGACCTGATCATAAAAGGCAATGAGGTTGGTCTGACATGACCTGCCCCTAATGAAACCGTGCTGGTTGCCCTTGAGCATCATCCCTGAAGCCGGCCCATCACAGATGTGCTGCCTGAGGATCTTCTCAAAGAGTTTTCCAAGACAGAGGTCAGACTGACGGGCCTATAGTTGCCCGGGTCCTCTCTCTTCCCTTTTTTGAAGATGGGGACCACGTTAGCTATCTTCCAGTCATCCGGCACCTGGCCTGAGCACCATGAGCACTCGTAAAGCCGTGCCAAGGGCCCTGCAATAACCCCAGCTAGCTCCCTCAACACCCTGGGGTGGAGAGCATCTGGACCCGCTGACTTGAACACGTCCAGCCCCTCCAGAAGCTCTCTAACCCGGTCCTCCCCAACCTGAGGTCTGGAGGCAATATTATTCTCAAAAGCCAATATTATTCCCTTCTGGGCCATATGTTCTTTGATAATTAAATTGAATTAAAATATTTTTAGCAAATTTTTACCACTATGCCCGAATCTTTTATACCTAAAATTCCGTAATATACCAATTACATAAATTGTGCCATGATGTGTCAAGGCACACAATACATATACAAATGCATACTCCAAGGAACGCAAGACTCAAGGCAGCCACTTATGACCTCTTTCTCCATTAACATTGCCCTTTAGCCTAAAGTACTCTCCTCTCTCCCTCCCAACCTTAGGTCCATCTCCTTCATGTATTCAGAAAAAAATCTCATCTCCCATCACCTTTCAGTTTACTAGAACATAAAAGCCAAGCTCTTCTAGACTCCTTTTCTAAGGCAGGTACTCTATTTACCTTTCCTGTCATGTTCTAGTCTCAGCTGATCTTTCTTGAACAACTGGGACCAGATTTGTTTTTTACATTCATAAATACTTGTAACAAAAATATATGTATTTCATCTATTCAAGTTTAGCATAACAGCAAAACAAGCTTGTTTGCTTAGTACAGCAAAGATACTTATAAGGCATATTTAAAATATGGTTTTTACTTCAGTTTGGCTTCCGTCTGTTCCATTTTCTTCAAAGTTTAATGGAACCATATCAACAGATTCCCTTTCAGGAAACTGACATCCTTCATTTTACCTGTCAATGATGCCAAACATGCACTCATTGGAGTAGATGCACCCACTGGTGTCACACATGGGGTTAATTTTCTTTGGGCTGGCCATTCAGGTGCCTGGGAATGAGATGGCAGCCCTGCCAACAACCCAGCAATGGCAGGAGCACGTGCAGAATAGTGTGGCCAAGTAGCTCCTTATCATATTGTACACAGCATTCCAGAAGGTCTAAAGCACCAACCTGCAGTGGCATTAATTCTTCCCCATTTCCGATGGAAATACTTCACCAGATGTATCCTAGGATCCCATTTGCCTGCTTCACAGCTGTACCACATTACTCGTTCAGTTACCATGCAACTTATGTCTTTTTCTTCCTCAAGTCATTTCCATCCCTAAATCCTGCCCAAGGCTGTTAGAACCTGAAGTAACACCATCAGCCCTTTATGAGCCAAATACCTGTCCCTCAATAGATCAGATCCCTTCTCTAGCAATTTCCCTCCTCTACACAAAAAGTGAGGTTCCCTTTGGGGCATAATTTCCCAGCCTAACTGGTAGTGGAGTATTCCACAGAAGCAATACAACACATTTAGAATTGCAAACTGAAGGCAAAGCTTGTAAGGCAAATATCATTCCAAAATATAACCCAATGTATTAGCGTTACATTTTTTATTTAAAGTTTACAATGCTTTTATAGTTTAATTTATCCTATTTTCTGTCTAAATCTGTGAACTGTGTTTTCATTATCCTTTTATTGCCCTGTTGCAATGTTCTTGTTTACACTAATTAAATTCATGCAACATTCTAATGTTGTTTCATATAAAAGTAAGACATTATTAAAAGAACAAAGAAACCCACATGAAATAAATCTTAATTTCTCACTTCGAACATACACAAACAGATGCACACAGTTCACATATTTAGTGTTATTTTAAAGTGGGTCGAATCTTTCTCCTAAGTGGAAGTCTGGTGTCTTTTCTGCTGCTTTAGCAAAGGTTAATTCAATATACTATTTAAAATGTTACAATGTAATTGAAAACATGCTTTAGCAATAAGTCAAAAATTGTCATTCTGTAAGTCTCTTACCTGAGAAGGCACACTTTTTGGTGGTTCAATGCGTATAGATGGATCCCATTCTCCTGGTGGAAGGACAGTCACTTGGTCTAAAAATTCATCAATTCCTGATAACAGATCATTTCGATCTTTCGCTTTATAAGCAACATCATGGAATACCTTTATGAAAGAAAAAAGACACAAACATTTACTTCTGTGGAAGAATACTTCATTAAAAGAAAGAAAAGCTTCAGTTTAAAAAAACCATCACATTTTCAAAGGGTCCTCAACAAGGCTCTTATTGGTACATTTGAAATGTAACATGCAATATTACTTGAATATACAATTTTTCACATACTAGAAGTCTGTGTAGCTAGTGGGTTTTGGACATGCAAAACCTTTCACATTTGTACATAAGCACTTGCATGCATAAAAAACTTTGCATGGGCTATAGAAGTCACTGCTCACCCCAAATGCTTGTAAAAACACCCCCAGCTATGTTATTAAAACCATAGCTCATCAAAAAAGCTTTTAAAATGTATTTTCTTCTACTGATCAGAAATGCCAGTTACTTTTTGCATTTCACCATGCAGCCAAAGGAGACTGTTCAGATTTTAATAAACATTACAGAAAAAGCACATCCTTAGAAATCAGGACCCTCTTTTAGGTTTAATCCCTCCTCTTCAAAACTCATGATATGGTATTGAGTCGCCTTTCAGAGACAGTTTTCCTATATATAAAAAAATCTAGAGATTAATTTTTTTATTTTTAAACATCAGAGGGATGTTGCAAGGATTCATTATCTGGACATTTTAAAATGCTTATTACCCTATCTATAAACCACCATTATTTACAATCACCACATTTATTTGGTAGAAGTTCACTGAACTTATAGAATTGATTGTAGAGTACATGCCATGGTAGTGCTCCGAGTTAACACAAAGCATTTAAAACAAACTCCACACCAAAACATGCATTACACTTAAAATCAGGAGCTTCATTTTCATTACATTACATGTCCTTTACTTTTGTGCATTCTGGATGACGTCTTTTAAATTCTGGATGACTTCTTTTAAATGTAGAAAGCATGGAGTCAAATTGCATTTCCATTAGTCAAAGCATATCTGTCATTGCAAAGTATAATCTCCGAATACATTCAGTTTAACAAACCGGTGTATGACTATCACTACTTTGGATTTATAGTTTCAAGTTAAACAGATTAAGTTTAACTTAGAAGCGTTAAATCACTTTTCTTTTGTGGAGTTTGACCCAGTAACATTTTTATTCATTTTTTTTTTTTTTACATAGGAATGGCAAATCCCAAGCCCTACCCACACATGGCAGAAATTAAAATCTCAGAAATAAAGGCATTCAAGGGAGAATATTCTGGAATTATTTAAATACTATTTTATATAATGCATATGATAAATACTACCAAATTAAATGTTAACTATCAATAAGTTAAAGTATTTTGAAAAATGCATGCTAAGCCCAAAAGCTAATTAAAAATCTGGACTTTAAGAAATAGATTAAAACATATCCAAACACAGAACACACCATTCTAAACTTCTAGTTTAAAATTTATAAAAGTTAAATATTGCTTTTGTCTCAAGAAATGTCAGAATTTCAGAAGCCGACTTACTCCAATGATACCTGCAATTCAGTAGGTGGCACTCCACCTCCAATTTGAAACAAATACCCTTCACTATGCTCTTCTTGGTGAGGACAAACAAACCAGGTCCTGACCTCCTTGCCTATCTAAAGAGTGCACAACACTTTGCCGAACACTGGAAGTGTCACTTCAAACATACAGTAAAATTCTAAGTTTGGACATTACATTCCTTTAACTCCTCCTGCTGATGTTTGAACTGTTCAGAGTATTCTTATTTTTCTCTTAACAGTTGTACAACATTTGTGCACTGCTTAACAGCTATGAAGTTTCATGCCAGAGATGGATGCATTTAAGCAGAGGAAAAAGGAATCTGCACTAAATAGCTTGTATGGTCTTTATGAAGTAGTTTTAGGATTATTTTACAAGACAGTCATGGAATAAGTTACTATTATATATTCCGCAAAAAAGGCATGAATTTATTTTTACTAAAATTAGTTTGGCTGTGCCATGCCTAAGTTACAGCTTTTGAAGACACTTCATTAAGCAGTCAATAAGCACATTATTTCAGATTTTTCCAATACACACCACTTGGATTTCTGTCAATGGATTTTATATCTATACTACTTACATCATCTGTCATAAGTGTTGCAATTGATCTTCCAATTTCATGATACTGTGGTCCCTTGCCTGCTGGGCCAAGCAAGAGAAACAAAAACCTGTAGGGAAAATGAGACAGACTAGTAGAACTATGATATTTTGTTTTAACAGTTATTGATTTTTTTTTTTTTTTTTTTT